CGAGCAATGGCAAGACCCGGCAGTATAGAGCATTTCCGACCGGGAGACCGTATGGAAGGAGAAGGAGCTCCACGGGAGGTTCTACAAGGCTCTACATGAGCCTTTCGTAGACACAGTTGCCTCCCTCCACTGGCTACGTTTTGGTGACCTCTTTGGGAAAACCGAGGGTTTTGTCTGTGCAATACAGGATCAGGTTACTAAGACCAACAACAATCGGAGATACATCCGTCGACATTTGTTGAGCTTGTCGCCATCCCGGTGAATCACTTAGGTATGTCATCTCCGGTTGTTCGGCGCTTTCTAACTCTGAGTATTTGCACAGACACAACCTAGTAGCCAGGATTCTACACCAGGAGCTCGCTCTGAAGTACGGTCTCGTGGATCGGAAACTGCCTTATCATAAGTACATGCCGGAAGCCGTGCTCGAAAATGACCACGCCAGGCTCTACTGCGACCGGGCCATCATCACAGACAGGACCATTCTTGCGAATAAGCCTGATATTGTGCCGATGGACCGGGCACAGTCAAGGATATTTTTGGTCGACATTACCATTCCGTATGACGAAAACCTCGTGAAAGCCGAAACAGATAAGCGTACAAAATATCTAGACCTGGCTTACGAGGTGACCGACATGTGGGGCGGACTGCCGGCCGAAATTATACCTGTAGTCGTTTCTGCGAACGGGTTAATCCTAGTCAGCCTCTCGGGTCATCTGAGGCGACTGGGACTCCGTGACGGACCGCTCCAAGCTCAAATGCAGAAGGCGGTGCTCCTCAATACCGCCCGCATCGTCCGCCGGTTTCTTTCCCTTTCCCCCTAACCCTCGGCCGTTTGGTCTCCCCTGCCGAGGGCTTCCATCTGGTTGGGTTTTTATTTATTTATGTATTTTTATGTACATTTTCATTTACAATTATATATTTGTACAACCCAACCAGATAAGTAAACTATATAGATGCCCCAAATAATAATAATAAGCCTTTTTTATTCTGAACTTCTCGGTTAAATATTAATACTAGACATGTTCTTGTTTGTTATAATATGTCCCGAAGCTTAGTTTGCCTTTTGGCATAGGCCTCCTCTAACATTTTCCACTGGGACCTGTCCTGCGCTACCCTCCTCCAATGATGTCCAGCCGTGAGTTTTAAGTCGTCTTTCCATCTTGTTTGTTGATGTCCTCTACTTCTCTTGCCATCTCTGGGATACCAGTCAGTAACAGTTTTGCACCACTTCTCTTGTGGATTACGCATCATGTGACTTGTACATCTCCACTTTTGTTGGTCTATTCGGGTTATTATATCGACAACTTTGGTTTTATCCCTTATTATGCTACATCTTACTCTGTCCTGTTTCCTTATTCCTGTCAAACTTCTCTCCATGGCTCTCTGACAGCGATCCAACTTTTCTCTGTGGTGTTTGGTGAGTGCCCAGGTTTCGCATCCGTAAGTAATGACTGGAAGTATACATGTGTTAAAAACTTTCCTTTTTATTTGCATACTTAGCTCCTTAGATTTTAAAACTTCTTTCAAAGACCAGTATTTCTTCCATCCATTTCCTATTCTTCGATCAATTTCTTTAGTGGTTTGATCTTTGTGAGATATTATCTGTCCTAAGTAGATATAGTCTGACACATATTCGAGTGGTTGGTTGTCAATTTTTATAATTATTGGTTTAGAGTTTGTAAGCAGTTTTGTTTTCTCTTTGTTCATGCTTAGCCCCACTTTCAGGCTTTCTTCATTCAGTGATTCTATCATTTTAACAAGATGCGTCGGGTTTTCCTCGAATAAGACTATATCATCTGCAAATCTTAGGTGGTTCAGTTTTACACCCTGCACATTGAGACCGTAATCTTCCCAGTATAGTTTGCGGAAAATACTTTCCAGAGCAGCCGAGAACAGTTTTGGCGAAAGAGGATCTCCCTGTCTTACTCCCCTCTCGATCTTGAACTTTTTTTCCAAGGTTTCTAGTTGGATCCTCGCTTCGCCGTTCAAGTATATGTTCTTTATAATATTTATATAATTTAAAGGTTGTAATGTTACTGTTGATCTAATAATTTCACCTCTCAGTGCGTCATGTGCTCCTGGTAGATTATCGTCTACACATACATCCATTACAGCCTATTAAAGTCCACTGCTGCACATACGCCTCCCCCATAGATTGCCTCATAAGAGGGATAGTTGCCATAGTTGCCACGGACTGGCAGTTTTTTATTTTTAGTCATTATTAGGATGACACTGATGTCCATGATTTATCTCTCTCTTTCGCTTGTACGACACCCACGGGAGGATATGGGGCAGTGGATATTCTTACACCGCCACTACACGGTAACAACGTTCATCAGCGGCGCTGTTTAAGGAGTCCACGGTTCCATGATCAATAAGAATTACATATAAGTAATCTTTAATGAATAAAACAATAAAAAAAATCTATTCTATTCTATCCTTGATGTCACAGGTTCCCCAATAGCCGTACTCGCTGCAAGAGGTGGATGGAGGCGATCAAACTGTCCTCCAAACCCTCGGACAAATCACTTTCACCCGGACGACTATAATTTAGTCAGGGGAAAGGTCCGGTTAAAGCCTAAGGTAGTGCCTTGCGTGTTTGAGGTAAGTCTAGATCTTCTAATAAAGACGCCCTTGCCTCATTGTGAAAATACTGAATAGTTATGGTAGGTGGTATGGTCTCCTTTTGGTGCCTAGCAGTATGTGAGGACGAGGATACACAGCAGTGTAAACATTGTTATTTGATGGCAGAAATAGATAAATTTCTGGTACCGTGATAACGTAGTAGAGCCATACTGCAGCTATGTTTATGGTATTATGCTATTATGGTTGCAGCACAAATGGGTCGGCTCGACCGGGGCAGGACCACGCTCTCACAGAATACCAGCGTAAAATAGCAGCTTAACACTGCTGTGTATCGTATGGTGAGTGTAGAGAACCGAAGACCCATTTTACTGAAAAAGGGGCATTCCATCTTAGTCCTCACGGGTGACAACGCATCTGCATTTTGATTCTTTATTGAGGATAAATGTAGATGTCTATGGGCCACAGCATACACTTACTGGACTGTGTTTGTGTATTGTCACCCTAATTCTAAAAAAAACATCGGTACATCAAACACTAATCTTCTGTGGCCATGGGTGCTATAAAGCACCCGAAACATAATTCAAATCAAAGATAATTAAAAAAAAAAAACATGCGCGAGTGTCGTGGAACACTCGGTTGGAATGAAGTTCCTTTCGTAGTATATTATTATTGATAAACATATTGTATTATTGATTAACAAATACAAATAAATGAATTACTAACGTCGATTAAAATGAATCGTCATTTAAAATAAAATAATATTTCTTTCATGGCAAGATAAGAAAAAGCGCGAGGGAGATTTCTATTATTCCATTCCATATTCCATCTAGCTCACACTATAGAAAGGGGGTCGTCACGGAAAAATCTTACACTTTTTCTCGCCTAGCCCCCACCCGTCAAATTCATACTGTGCGATAAGGAATTTCGTTCCAATAAACGCTATAAAATGCCTAAAGTTGATTTTATTCCATTTCAGCAGCTAACTTTTAACTTACAGAGTGAACAACCAAAAACAAAACAAGCAAACTTTCGTTCCTGTGATAATATCAATAACAGTGATGGTCCGGAGCACAGAATACAGTGTGACAGTTTTGATGATGACGTCTCAAATAACAAGGGTGATACTGCGTCTAATAAAAAGAAAAAAACGAAAGAGAAGCAAACAAACAGAACAGCAGAGGATGTTAAGACATTGTCAGCTTTCCTCCAATAAAACTACGACGCCTTACTTAGTTAACTGTTTAATCACTATATTTGTTGCTTAATTACACTATCAAACTGTATATGAGAGTTTTTAACACACTATACTTTACTTTTACAAAGAAGACTATATTTTAATTTCACTTTGCTCACAATCTTTCGAATCACTAATTTCACTCACAGACTTAACTATTACAACCTTATCAGAACGACTGTACGTATTCAACTGCCGGGGGTGTCAAGAGTAGGCGCTTTTATATTATGACTCGATTTTAGAATTAATGTAAGGTAGTTTGAAATCGATTCATATTGATATTAATTGTGGAGTGTGCTATGTAATATTGCATAATAATTATTTATCTAACACTCGACCAATCCTGACACTAGACGCGTCCCCGCGTAAAAATAGTACCAAAAGATATTAGGTTTTAAATTAACAATAATTACAATAAATTGAAATATGTATAGCAACAAATTACAAATTTTTTTTCACTTTTCTTTTAACTGTAATGAATGCCGTTGCACAGAACGGTCCACACCGATACCACTCGGTAACGGCTCACTTTCTTATATCTAATGAATGCCGTTACACAGAACGGTCCACACCGATACCACTCAGTAACGGCTCACTTTCTTATATCTAATGAATGCCGTTGCACAGAACGGTCCACACTGATACCATTTGGCACCAGCTCACTCTTTAACTCTAAGAGATGCCGTTGCACAGAACGGTCCACACCGACACAATTCAGTAACGGCTCACTTTCTTATATCTAATGAATGCCGTTGCACAGACCGATCCACACTGATACCATTCGGCATCAGCTCACTTTTTAACTAAGAGGTGCCGTTGCACAGAACGGTCCACACCGATACAATTCAGTAACGGCTCACTTTCTTACATTAACTAACTGCATATTGCTCACTATATTCATGCAATATATATTACATTTTATTCTTAAAGGTTATCTACAATAGAAAGGAGTTATCATAATTATAATTGTTATGATGACTTAAATAATATCGAAAATAATATATAATAATCATATAAGTTACTATTGTATTTTTCACACGTACGTATATTGAATTAACATTTTAATATATCTCTTCCTTTATATATCATTATATTAGAATAAATATGACTTAACTACAAACTAGAACTACATATGTTAAAAGGACAATAATTTAGAGCAATACACGGATTAATAGGTATTTTACTCAGAGTCACTGGAGATTGGATCATTTTGGAATACCAACCAAGGGTGTATTTTATCTACCGGGTAAACTCCGACGTATGCCGCTTTGCCTTCCTTTTTAGTAATGGGGGTGTCTTGAACCTCATATCGATCATGACTCAGAATTTTTGTTATTCTGTACGGGCCGGAACATTTCGGAACCAACTTTCTGGCCTGGCCCGGTGCCGTATACACGTCTTTCTCTATACGAACAAGATCTCCTATTTTATATTGCGTAGCTTCTTTTCTCGTTTTATCATATCTGTCCTTTTGTTTCAGTTGTTCAGAAGAAATTCGTTGTTCAACGTCGTTGCGAATTTCATCTCGGTTTTGAAGTTGCTGAGATTCAGCAACTACACTGTTCATAACGCCATCACAACTTCCCGTAGGAACCACCCCAAATAAAGTCTCAGCGGGAGTTTTCCCAGTGCCTTTGTTAATTGTGTTGTTTAATGACCATTGCACTTTAAACAATACGGTATCCCATTCATTTTCAGGATGTCCATGATTAGCAGAAGCGAGCGATTCTACGAGAGTTTTATTATATCGTTCAATCTGGCCGTTTGCTCGAGGTGTAGCGACCGCATTCAATATGTGTTTCATACCTTTCCCCACTACAAATTTGTTAAATTCATTACTAGTGAAGCTAGTACCGCGATCTGTAATTAACCGCCGCGGCACCCCGAATAATGCAAAGTATTCTTCAAAAATTTGGATACTCGTCTTACTTCTACAATCACGGACAGCCTTAAGATATATATATTTTGTAAAAGAATCAATGATTGCCAGTATATATTGATTCCTCTTTTTGCTTAATGGGAATGGCCCGCAATGATCTGCATGTATGGTGTCAAATGGTTTGCTTACCTTTTCAATAGGATGAAGCATTCCTTCCCTTGGTCCGGCTGGAATTTTATTATGAGCACATTCTAGACAAGCCTTGCAATATTTTTTAGTAAACTTTCTCATATTTTTAAACCAGTAGATCCTTTTGATACGTTCATATGTCTTTTCAAACCCAAAATGACCGTTATTGTCATGATTCATTTTTAGTATTTGCCATCTTACAGATTTAGGAACTACCCAGAGTAACGTTACGGTATCGTTCTTTTTCACGATTCTATAAAGCTTGCCATTTTTTAATGTAAAGTTATTCTTAATTTCAACTACATGCTCACTTTCAGGATCTTGCAATATTTTTACTATACGCTGCAGTTCTGGATCTGACGACTGTACTGTTCCCAACCAAGCATCATTATTTACGAAGAGTACGTCAATTCTGTTTTCATTATTGTGCACATCAGTTCTAATAGGATTCCGGCTTAATGCGTCCACGTGAGCCATTTTATTACCAGGTCTATATTCGATTGTAAAATCGTATTCTTGCATAGATATCCACCATCTTGCAACACGTGGCACTAGATCTCGTTTATTCATAGTGTTCCGAATGGCGCTACAATCAGTTACTGCTTTGAAATTCGTGCCTAACAGATAAACACGAAATTTCTGCAATGCCGTGACTAGTGCGAGAGTTTCTAACTCATAAGAGTGAAACCTCTGTTCCTCAGGTGAAGTCTGACGACTATAATATGCTACTGGGTGTACCGCATCATTGTGCCTCTGCATGAGAATTGCACCAATTCCCATTTTGCTGGCATCTGTGTGGACTTCCACAGGTGCTGTTGGGTCATACAGTGCCAGTAAGGGACGACTTACGAGTTTCTCTTTTAACTTATTAAACGCATCTCTTTCTTCTTCTCCAAAACGCCAGCTGACGTCCTTTTTCGTGAGGTTTGTCAGCGGTCTTGCAATCACTGAAAAATTCCTAACAAAGCGCCGGAAGTAACTCGAAAGTCCTACAAATTGACGAACCTCGTGTACATTTTTGGGTTCTGGGAAATTTGCCACGGCTTGAATTTTTAGGTTACCTGGTCGTATACCTTCCGATGATATTTCATAACCTAAATAATTTATTTGCGTTTGGAAAAATTGACATTTTTCAAGCTTTAAAGTAAGTTTTGCACTACGCAGAAGTTGAAGTACCTTCTCTAATTTTTCTGTGCCCTCTTTTATGGTTTTAGAAGCTATCAACAAATCATCCATGTAGGCGAGGGCCAGGCGTCCACCAGATCCCCGAAGCATTGTATTAATAGCTCTCTGAAACACACTTGGTGCGTTGGCCAGTCCAAACGGCATCCGGTTATATTCGAAAAGACCGTCAGGAGTGACGAACGCAGTTAAGTGTTTGCTATCTTCAGCCATGGGGATCTGATAATAACCAGACGCTAAATCCAAGCTTGTGAAGTAGCTGTTACCTCCCAAACAATCCAATTGGTCTTCGATCCTCGGCAAGGGATATTTATCTTTTAAAGTTTTGCGGTTGAGCGCACGATAATCGATGCAAAGGCGTTTCTCACCGTTTTTCTTATTAACTAAAATCACTGGACTTGCGTAACATGAATTGCTTTCCCTAATTATACCGTGTCGTAATAGATCTTCTACAATAATTGTTAAATGCTCTCGTTCTTTGATCGACATCCGATAAGGATTATACACAACTGGAGTGTCATCATTGAGCTTAATGTTCATCTGAGTCAGATTAGTTTCACCTAATTCCGATAAATCGAGGGCAAAACAATCTCTATATTTAGAAAGAAGGACCTGGAACTCACTTAACTCCGAAACGCTCAATAAAGTTCCGATTTTAACTTTATCGATTGGTAGAGGCTCACGGCTATTGGCAACATCTGTTAAACCAATGTATTGATCATTTGTTTCATTATGGACCCACCCTCTGGCTATAACGGTATTTTCTTTTATTGATGTCATATTTTTACTAATATTTGTAACCATTAGGTAGCCATTGTAGTGCCCTGTAGACTCCCCTTTACCTCCGACAATATACATTTATAAAATTAGTATTAAGTATAGAATAGAACACAGTATAATTAAAGTTCTTGTACAAGCAACACGTCTCCTTCATTCAGCACCTTCCGAGTTCCGACATTACATGGCGACCCTGCCAGGCGGTGCGCTGCGACAATGCACGCGCACCGCCGCGGCCTATTACTTAAAAGGAAAAAAAATATTATAAGAAATCTAAATTAAATTATGAAAAAAATATTAACGGCAATACCGGACGTGACGAAAAATAATAAGAATATAAGAAAAGGACTGATATTACTATTTTTTTAAAGAAAATTACAGAAAGTATTTAATAAACTAATGAAGATCAACTTAAAAAGATAAACTTTATGAAAATTTCAAAGGTAATATGAAGAATAAAATACTTAATATTGATAATTATGAGAAGTATAATGAAGAAAGGAACAGCAGTTGTACCCTAGGAAGCTTAGCCCAGAAGAATGTGAAATTTGAGTCAGAAAGTACAAAGAAGATATTAAGAGGTAACTTCCCACCTTTGTGATTTTATCTCCATCAAAAACTTTATTTATCAATTTGTGATTGTTTTATGTTCTTTTTGCTATTATATTTTATGAATTTAAGTATTAAGTATTCTATATTTAATACACCTATGTTTAAATTGAAAGTAATTATCAGATAATTTACGATTCAATTGATTTTTTTAATATCTTATTACTGTATCTGAAAAAATAATTAAAAAGCAATAATTATAAATTAAGTTATGTATGCACTTCTGTGGCATGTTTTATTAAGGTACAAGACGATTTTATATTCACTTTTTTCAGTTATTGTCTTATATTATTTTATAAATGTGTCGTGCAAAAATTAATGAAATAATGTGATTTATTACATTTTTATGTCCTTAAATTTACTATAGTTCATCATAAATTAATTTTTTCATATTTTATAGTAAAATAACACTTTTTCTTTTAACGACCACAAACTAATCTAGATAAGTTAAATTCAATTTCAATTCAAAATTCAAATGTAACAATCTTTACACAGTGAATATAATAAGTATGCTAAACTTTTCTTATGAATGATATATCTATAAATATGACATGTTATGCAATGAGCTTATCTTAAAACAATAGAGAGCAACATGCGATATATGAACAGGTGCATAAAAATAAATCATAACAACATTCTAATAAAGACGAAAATAATAATATCAAAAAATAAATAAGAAATGACCTGTAAACACGTGGATAATAATAAATATAAATAATAATAACGTGTAACATAAATATGAAAATAATGAAATACTGTAAAATAAAATAAAAATAATTAAGAGGTTTAATAATAATGTTCCCTAACAGTTAAAAACGGCAAAAAAAAATAGACTGACAAAAATGTTATCCAATTTGTACAAAATTAGAATGTATGTAATTAAAAGATATGAGGAATGGAAGAAAAGAATGTTCGAAAGTGTGAATACGAATGATCGAGTTGCTAAGTTTCCTCAATATTGGACTGATCACCCAAATATTGATGAATGCTTAAACTCTTGGTATGGAACTCATTATGAGCGAGAATAATGCAAATTAGTATATGGAAGTGGAGCATGCAAGTGAATAAAAATACCCGATACACCCAAACAGATATTAAGATGTAAAAAAAAAAAAAACACGGATCATGTATAAATAAAGAAGCAAAATGGTTTATTAAGAGAATAGAAATAAAACATATTATAATGACCTTGATAAATAAATCATGGAGAGTTACGGGAACGTCCATCACTGGTAAAGCATATAGTCCTCGAGCAGGGTATGTTTCCATGATTGGATGATAAAATCGGAAGTAACGGGTACTAGGGAACAATACCTTCAGTACAAATGAGATGTGAACGAGTTTACTCATATTAGTACTGTTGGGGACCAGAGAAGTCTTAAATTTGTTACCCTTAATAATGGTACATAGGGGTCACATCCTTCATTGGATCATAGTGTGAACTTAGTTTTCCTCCGTGACAATTGTTGGAGTCCTTTTAAAATGACTTAAAAGTTGACCTCAAGGTTGTGCGCACAACCCAAGGTACAGTTCTACCTTGAGATAGTATGATAAAAAAAGTTAACGTACCAATAAAATGAAATGAATGTTATGAAAATGTAATATAATACCCAAGTAAATGGGGGGCCCATATTTATAAAGTACCCGCGTGATAAATATCACGAAATAAAATATAAATGAAGTGAATTAATACTCCGATTCCCGATATCTAATAAATAAATAAATATATAAGTGAATAGAATTACGAAAACAAATTAAGCTAGCTAAAAGGTCAAAAGGAATAAATTATTATGAAAGGAAAGAAAGTATGTACATACGAGAATTATAAAAGAAAATATAAATACATATATGTATAACTTAAGGCCTAATAATTTAAACAAAGTAAATAGGAGTAGTCGTACTGGTATGAAATTAAGTACAATGAAATGAGAAAATTTTAAATCATAAAAGGACATGACAAAAAATAAAATGTGTTACATACAAGGTATTAAGGGGAGTCTACAGGGCACTACAGGGACCAGCAGTGAATTCGTATAAACCTGGAAGGATCATGAACTCATTATTTAAAATTAGTCTATGTCCACCCACAACAAATAAACCACCCGTATAATTCGGCTCAGTATGAACAGAAATTGGAGACGTAGTACAACTATTTATTAATGAATTTGTATTGGAACATATCCTATATTTGACCATTTCATTGCAACATTCCTGACCAGGGATACTAGTGAATATTAGCTCACTGCTAGATTTGTACATTATTATGTTTGGTTTTTCAGTATAAGTGTGACCTATGATAACCGGCACGTGCATGTAATGATCAGAGACTACTATCAGATCGACTTCCGCAGTCACTCCATCAATCTCAACCACAGCCTTTTTAAGTCCTAGAGCTTTAACGATGGAATTGCCAAAACCATGTAAATTAGGTAAATTAGACGGGACCTCCCATTCAGTCAGTATATCCTTAGCATCAGATTCCCGGATCAAAGAACAACTACTGCCTAAATCTATGTAGGAGGACCTTCTGACGCCATTAATCTTTATACTCTTATAAAACTTTTTATTTGCACAAGCATTTGATTGATCAATACAAAGTACTTTATTGTTCGTTCCTGTTTGATCCAATTGTTCAATTTGCTCACCTACCTCAGTTGAGGTACTGGAGCTAGAAGGTCGCTTGCGACAATCCCTAGTTATGTGGCCCAACCGATGGCAAAAACCACATTTTTTAAGAGGCTTTGGACATTTGACGCTGATATGACCAGCATCACCACAATTAAAACAGCGTATGCCTTCAGAGCCTCTCATTGGGTCAGTTGCATTTGTAACTTTACTAATCCGTGACTGTGGTGTTTCTGATAATTTTACTCTTTGCAAGTGGGTCGTACTATGAGCAATTGTCCTCAAGTAAGAAAATAGTTTTTCGGGTTCTTCGAACATGCATGCACTTGCACCCATGCGTATAAATTTATCGTCAATACCGTGTATTATGCATCCAACAGCTTTTCTACCGGTAATTTCACATTTATTTAGTAAGGCAATTTTGTCATAATAATATTCATCAAGGGACTGACCGAATCTGCAACGTATCTTTAACATTTTCGTAAGTAAATCTCCATAATTCTCGTTGGAAAGACACGTAGCTCTCAGCTTACTGACCCATTCATCCCATGTAAATAGTAAGGAAGGCAGCCCCTGATACCACCTCTTAGCAAGGCCCGTTAACTTGGGTAACGCAAAATGACATATTTGCCTATCATCCCATGAGTATATTTTAGCACACTCGTTCACTTTATGAATCCACGATTCAATGATTTGGCTATCAACAGAAGGATCAAATTCTGGTATAACATTAAAATTTGCCGTTATATTATTAGACCACATCTGTCCTCCAGTAGGAGCAACAGGAACAGCATTTGAGCTGCTCGTTAAACTTGAAGTTACTGGTGGTCTCATAACATAAGGTAGGGGCTGAGGGTTCACACTTGTGACATTATGAGGCAAATCATTTAAGTTAATTGGTATCTGTGGTGACACTGTTCGAACCCTGGGCAACGGCGGAGTTGTTATCGAAACGCTCCTATTACGATTTCTACCTCGAGATCGATTTTCATTAGCAAGTCGAGATTTACGATGATCGTGGTGTCGACAATGGGTTGATGGGGACCGTTTGCGTTTTTGCCTACCATGACGTCTTTGTTTACTACGACGAACAGGAGTACTAGAGCTATAAGAAGTTCCGATTGATGTTGACGAGCTTCCATAACGTTTATGAGCATGATTACGTCGCTTACGTCTTACCTGAGAACGTGACCTGCGTGGCGACCTCATAATATCAGTTATTATTAAAATTAGTTATATTTTCGACAAAACGGCCAAAAATTAATTGTTAACATATAAGGGTATTTTTACTCTTGTGCCCTAACTAATGATAACAAATTAAAGGAAGAGAAATATTTATAATTACACGTTTAAATAATTAAATTAAAAGCTATCATACAGAGACATGGCAATTTCACTCTATAAGTCTTATGTTAATAAACAAATTTAAGCAAGCCGAGTAAAAAAAGGATTAAATTTATCTTATTTCAATTGAATTGTTCCAATCAAGCCTAATAGTTTTTTCACTTAGGTAGTCAAATGGTATTCACTGTACTATATTAAGTCAAATTGTATACACTGTGGGTGGCGGCCCGAAGATTTACACAGGTTGCCACTTATGAGATTAACACAGACACAGGGTGTATACACATACAAATTTATCACGAGTCGCTAGAGAGGAATACAAATCACTGACCTTGGTTTATAGTGAACTCACTTTAGCAGTCTTCTTCGCGTATACTCCAAATCGACTTTGAGACAGGATGTCTTGCGATTACGTGTGGGTTGTA